CTTCATTCATTATACACATTCAGTGAACAAAAACGTTACCATTCTCTCTCAAATTAGCAAACCCATTTTCTTTCATCCTTTCAAATTCAAGTCCCAGGAGGTCTTCATCTCAAGTAGAATTAAGTGTTGGTGAGTATTCTTCAATTATTTTGGTGTTTATTCAACACATAAATTGTAGTTTCATCACATTCACACATATTGTTATGTGTTTAAATCTATTAGGAAACGACATCCTTCCCGTAATCTAGCCCGAAGGTCACCGTTTCCATTCCGTATTCAAAACCGTTACCACACATAAGGTGAGTTCATACCCCCCATATTTTTCCAAGCGTTTTCAATGTTTTTAGGGGGGAATACAAGTAAATCACAAGAAATCTTGTGTTTAAAAATATAATTTTACTTATTTTGTTTTCTTACCGTTAATATGTATTTAAACGCGAAATTTGTTAAAACATGAAAATAAACTTATAAACTATATTAGGTATAGTTTATGGATCATATGAACTATTTTACAAAGTCCAGGCTAAAACATGGAAACAAACTTATAAACTATAATAGGTATAGTTTATGGAACAAAGGGATCTTTTTACAAAATTACATGTTATTTATTAAAAAGTTTTTCACTTTATGTAAACTAGTTAATACAGGATTGTGAACCGCTTGATGTACCAACCATGGTACCCGTTAGAATCCTAATTATAACCAGAGTCTCCTTGAGGGAGAGCGTGAGTTTGTGTATAGATCTATACTGGACTGGATATGTATTAGTATGGTTATAATGAATATTCACAATAAGTATTAACTAATTATTTACGTAAAGATATACTTTTTCTTAAACAGTCTCAAGGGATACTAACCATGTGATTACTCAGTATATACAATAGGGTTAGATAAAATTGAAGTCCGGTAGACAGTGGAATGTGTGACTTCCGCCTTACTTCCTGTTCCTTATTTGGTTGTGGGCTTAGGGCAGATTCACACATTCAACTGACTGTTCGATCTTGGTTATATACAACTCGTATGTACTAAGTGATCATAGGAGGGTAGTATCGTCCCATCGAGTTTTCAGGGCAAACACATCTTCATCTAGTTTTTATTATAAATAAAACTAGGTATAATTAAACTAAGTATGATAATTATACTTGTGCTTTTTGGTATTAGAACGATTAAGAATACAAATTGGTTTTATAGAAAATATAGGATTTTCTATGATAAACATCGTTATTTTAAAGGTAAACAGTTTTCGATTTAACTTTCTGAAAACAATAACAATTATTACTGAAAACAATGTTTTACAATAGAGTAAGTGGAACTAGGAACATATTTACAAAAAGTTCAACACTTATTTAAAGGACCTTTAATGGTTAACTCTATAACTCCTTAGTTTATACATCAGAGTTATATATAAATAATATCCAATAGGCAGTGGAATGTGTGACTTCCGCCTTACTTCCTGTTCCTTGTTTGGTTGTGGGCTTAGGGCAGATTCACACATTCAACTGTCCGTTCGATATTAGATTATATATAGCTAGTATAAACTAAGTGATTATAGAAGGAACTATTGTGGTTGCCATTCTACTAAAGAAAATATAGGATTTTCTGAAGAAAACACATTCATCATATCTAAAAGAATCATTAATGTTAATTCTGTGATTACTTGGTGAATACACTAGAGTTATATATAATGAAGATCCGGTAGACAGTGGAATGTGTGACTTCCGCCTTACTTCCTGTTCCTTGTTTGGTTGTGGGCTTAGGGCAGATCCACACATTCAACTGTCTACTCGATCTGTATTATATATAATTTGTAATCACTAAATGATCACAGAAGGAATGGTTACGGTCATATTACTCATTAAGAAAATATAGGATTTTTTGAAGGAACAGACGAACTTTTCCAAAGAACAAAGAGTATACTTTTTATAACAAAAATATTTATGAACTCACCAACTTTAATGTTGACACTTTTTCAAACCACTTGTATTCTCAGGAACGCTAGTAGACAAGTACCCTCTCAGGTGTTGCGAAGACGGAGCTTAATATCATTACGTCTTATCTTTTGCTATAGTTTTAATGTAAATCATGCAATGTTTTGAACACAATGTAAACTTTATATTATTAATACGATGGTTGTTGTTACTTTGATTACTATTATACAATTGTTGTGATACTGTACATGACGTCCTCCGCCCCCGAACGTTTCCGCCATTCCGGTTTGGGGGTGTGACAATAGTCAAGGTCAACAGTCCATGTTGACCCAACTCGTCGAGTGCACATACCAACTAGTCGAGTTACTACAGCATCCAGAGAAGCGGGAAAACCCGAGCCAGCCCGTCGAGTTATCAGGACCAACTCTTCGAGTTCCTACAGTATCCAGAGAAGCGGGAAAACCCGAGCCAACTCGTCGAGTTGTCAGGACAACTCGTCGAGTTTTCCCGGTTTTAACACATTCAACACCTTCTTATCGAATCTAATGCTTAGAAAATGCAGATCTGATACCCAAGGGTTGGAAACCCACGTAAAGTTGCTAACTTTACGTCCTTGCATGACACTAGGAGGATCCAATACTCAAGAAAGGCTTAATAAGGGACCTAAAGCATGAAAGAGGCCTAGAACTTGATAAAGCTTGCAACTTTAAGTCCAATGAGGCCATAAGACATCCAAATCTGAAGTGATAACTTCATGAAATACTCAACCCAAGAACAATCCCCAAAATGAGCCAAATATGACAACAAACTTCAAAGAAAGAGATCTAATCAATAGACAAGCAAGTTATCGACTTTTTACCTCAAAAGAGTAGCCAAACTCAAGGAGATTCTGGATCTATAGCTTCCCCCTCCAAGCTAGGCACCACCAACTTCAAGCTCTTTCAAAATGAGACCAAAAGAAGCAACTTTTAAGCTCACACACTCAACTTGGGATAAGATGCACGAAATCTAGGGTTTCTGGACAGAGGAGGCGATTAGGGTGGCCAACAATGGGACTTAAGGCCTTTAAATAAGGTGCAACACCCTAAAAATTAGGGTTTCGTATACAGCCACCATCTCGTCGAGTTTTCCTCTCCAACTCGTCGAGTTGGTCCAAAAAGATCTACGACCCAAAAACTTTCAACACGTCGAGTTAAGGCCATTAACTCGATGAGTTCCAAGGGAAAATTTGCCTTTTTAATAAAATTCTCATACCTGGAAATCAGGATGTTACATTTAAATTGAGCAAGTTTGTTTCAAGTTTGGCTAAAAATATTAAAAGTACACTTGGTTGAAACGCTTCTAAAAACCCGAGTCAAGTCCTTATAAGTTCGAGATTTACTTGTTGTATATATTCGAACTCATTTTTGTATTCAAACTTAAGCTTGAATTCAATAAACTCTAGCTTAAACAGGATAAAGTAAAGGTCAAGTTTGAGCTCGAATAATTTGATAAAACCTAAAATGTCAATATCAGTATATTGATTATTAATCAAGTATTTTTTTAATATCAAACAAATTCAATTTTATAAAATTCACATGAAAATTTTAATACCAATCCCCGATTGTAGAAATCCTACAATCCAGAATCTCACCTACACATGTTTTATAGAAAGTAAATAAAATATAGAAGTAGTCCTTTTATCATTGTTTTCTAATTAAAACATCAACTATTTCTTACATAAAATGGAAAAAACCACAATCAACTGATAATTTAAAACATGTGCTTTATGCAAACATTGCTAATATTTGATGATCTTTTATTGATGCATGTCAAACATGTAAAGATGACCAACTTAATAAGGAGTGTTATTTGATTTATTGTGAAATCTAATTATTATAATCATATCATATCATCCTATATTATAATAATAATGAAGATATTTTTTCTATTATAATATACATTTGAAATTTGTATAATCTTCTAATTTTCAACTTAATATAATTAATATATTAATTTAATTTATGTTATTAAATACAAAATATTATCTTATTATTTGGTATATTTTTAAAATGATTATTATAATATATTTATTTGTTAATTTAAATATTATGTTAAATCTAAAACATAAATCAAAATATAAAACAAACTTAAAAAATATATTCAAATACTATTTTTTAAAATAATTAAAAATGTTTATATATTTTAAATACATAACAACAAAGTCAAATTAAATAAAATATATCAAAAAAACTATTTTTATTTATAATTCACTTTTTCCAAAATAAGTGGATTTTATTTAATTATAAGAAAAACAATACATTGTGTTAACCAGCAAACGATGATTCATATATCAATTAATCATCATGATCGAAAAAATAAATAAATAGATAAGTAATTTTTAATTTAATCAAGTATAATGTTAAATCGTAATATTAAATCGAAAATCATATTTAATTTTATTTAAACGCAAACCGCAAATAGATGTTATTGAATTATATGGTTCTAATAGATTTTTTTTAATAATATGACAAAAAACATTACAAATATATATATCAAATTAATATAAAAGTTATTATTTTTTTGGTTAATGTCTCATTATTTTTAACATGTATATACATGAAATTTTATTATATAATTTTATTGTGCGCAACGTACAAATATTCAACTAATTTAAATATAATAATTGATTTTGATAGAGTAACAATGATAATAGTCCTCCAATTTTTTTTTTATGTATTCATATTTCATCCCTTCATAAACTCAATTTTAAGAGATCTCAGTTTCGGTAATTATTTTTGTCATTTAATCTATAAATATTTAAAAAAAATCAGAATTCTAAAAAATAATTAAACAAATAATCATACATTATTATAAATTTAAAGAATTACTACAACACATTATCCTCTACACTATTTTTTTATTAAATGATTATGATTTAATACCATACACTCATTTTTAAAACCCAAAAATAATAATAAATAATAGTTAAGGTCTTTTTAAGTTAATCAAACACTTGAAATAATAAATAAATATTATCGTCGTTTCTCCTTTCATGGATTCTAGAGGAAGGGGGGTTTTTAAGACAAAAAAAAAAAAAAGGGAAAAAAAGCTTAATACTTCGTTATGGCCGCCTGAGAAACTCTCCTTCCACTTTCTTCATCATCTCCCTCTCTCTCTTTCTCTCTATCTCTCTCTACAACACACACCGAGATGGATGCAGGGGGAGACGTATGATCTTGGATGCGTACATGGATGTGGCGTCCATAAGTTAAAGCGAATTTACAGGTGAGTTTTGTCGTTAAATCTGTCAATCGCTTTTTCGTCTCGTCGTGTTATACCCAATACGCCTATACCCTTCTCCGTTAATTCCAACTTTCTTTCTGTTTACTGATCTGTTCTTTGTAATTCAACGAAGCTTCTACTTTTATTGTTTCGATCGTTTTATATGATTGTTTCTCTGTTGCTTGATTGTAATTTTATCATCGTGAACCGAGAAAATGTAGTTTTTGTATCTCCCCCTGTAAGATCAAAATCTATATGTAGTTTTCGCTAAAAATTACTTGTAAATTTTCCGACTCTTGTGTTTCAATGTGTAAATAGATTTGGTTATGCACTTATGCTGGTTCATGATGTGAACAGCAGCATCAACAACTAGAACTATTCCAGTACTTTTAGGTTTCTCTGATTAAATGAAAAGCACTTTCATTATCTTGTAGTTTTCTGTGTATTCGTGGTTCAGTGGATTACAAGTTTCAATTGATTCAAATCAATGAAAGTAAATTGTTTTAAACATGTGTGATTGGTAGAAGAAAGAAGAGTAATGCTAACAATGCTGAAATTTGGTGTCGTTTCTACTTATTCTGAATGTTTGCAATGGAAAAAATCATGCTCATAGTTTTCTCTTTTCGTTTACCTCCAAAATTCTAGTATTATTAACAAAAGGGACTTCCACTTCCACTTCCATTCATGGAGAAAGGGAATGGAACTCATGAAGAGGCAAGTAGCCCAGGTTGGGGTGCTTCATTTTTGGTGCAGACAGCTGAAGATGCTTCTGGAACTGCTGTTACTCCTCCTTCTCCTTCACCAAGACCTTCAGTGGTATTCTCATCAAAAGGAGATACAAGTCCTCTTCAAAAGCTTCAGAATCAAGTTTTCAGAGCACTCAAAGGCTTATCTCCTCCTTCTGAAGATAAAAGCAGAACTTACAATCCAGAAGTATTAACTAGCCAAAAACGTCAATGGGCAAGCTTTCAGTTGGATGCCCTGGTATGTAAATATGTAATTAATCTTTCTTTTTTCTTTTTTCTTTTTTCTTTTTCTCTACTCCTATCTTTCATTCCTGAATCTTGAATTCTTTATGATTGTTTATAATTTCCAAATCTTTTAGCATCAAAGGATATTGAAAGAACCTTCTAGGCTATTTGAGAGCATGGTAGTGGTTGGATTGCATCCAAATTGTGACATTCAGGCACTTCAGAGGCAATATTTTGGTAGAAGATCTGAAGGTCCAGGGAGGCATCAGTTTCGTGTAGAACCAAATCTTGAGCCTCAGGTACTGGTCAAAACTCAAAACTTTGACTTTCTTCCATTGTTATGAAATATGATATGATGATTTCTTATCATTTTGCTTTACTTTCAGGTTCTTTTTGTCTACCCTCCAGATAAACAGCTTCCATTAAGGTCTAAAGATCTCCTTTCATTCTGCTTTCCTGGTGGATTGGAGGTTAGACTACATAATTATATAATCAAAACCATTTATTCTGTTATAATTTCTCTAGTTTTTAATCTTGTTTGTTACTTTTAATAATTCTAGGTTCACACTGTTGAGAGAACACCATCAATGAGTGAACTGAATGAAATACTTCTTGGACAGGTATATCTGTTAAAAAAAAAAGTCTTTTCACTTTTTATAAAAAACAAACACATTTATCTAAAACTATGTCTACTTTTTTCAGGAACACCTTAAACAAAACGATCTATCCTTTGTATTCAGGTTACAGGTAACATTTCATCATCTATTCTGGTGTTTTCATTACACATATATACATACATACACATATTGTTTTGATACAATGTAAGTAACATTATAGGGTGCAGATGATTCAACACTTTATGGTTGCTGTGTTTTAGTTGATGAATTAGTCCAACAACCTTCTAGATTAATTTCAATCATGGGAGATGGACATTTTACTACCCCTCCTCTTAGTCGCCATGTTTTAACCACTAGAAGGTGTTACTGTATTCTTACAAGGCTTCCATTTTTTGAACTCCATTTTGGTGTGTTAAACAGGTTTGTCAACATATTCATTCCTTTTTTAGTCTTATCTAAAATAAAGATGAATGAATGTTTTCTTTATGTTCTTATAAGTTTCATTTGTTTATAATTTCATGTAGCATATTCACTGAAGAAAGATTGGACAGATTAACAAAAAGTATTGGGGAGTTGGATTTGGATTTGGATTCATCTGTTGAGAATGATGGAGAAGTGTATTTAGAAGCTGAAAATGGTGTTAAACATGGTCAAGAACTAGTGCTTAATGGAAGTATGGAAGCTTGTGATAATAATCATAGTCATGTTGATGATAAACAACTTACTCAAAAACAAATCCCAAATGCAATTTTGCCTTTTCTTCGTTTTCAACAATATGATAGCTCTGATTCTTCCTCAAGGTAAATCATTATCATTTGGGAATCTGAACATTGATTTCTTGATTTTGTTGACTTATATAGACAGTTAATACAGTTTTCAGGGGTCTCCAAGTGAAGATAGAAACTTTAGGAGTGATCTTGATTCACCAGAGATAGAAGAAGCATCTTTTTCAGGTCAAGAAGATAACGAGCACAAGGAAATTCTCGATTGGGCCAAGGTGTGTTGTGAATTTTCATTTTGGACCCTTGAGGTTTTGAAAACTCCCATTTCTCACCCCTAACTTTTTGACAGAATAATAATCATGGATCATTACAAATTATATGTGAATACAATCGTTTATGTGTCCCCACAAGAGGCTCAACAACAAAATTTCATCCCCTTGAACACCTGCATCCTCTGGAATTTCACAGACCTGATGAAACAGTTTTACATATGGCTGGTTCTACTGTTGATTTGATGTCATGTAGCACAACTTTTGAACTTTCAGAGGTTTTTATTTATTTATTTTTTTGTTTTAAAAATAATGTAGAGTTTCTATTTGCTACTTGATGGTGTACTGTATGTTACTGTAGGCTCACAGGGCACTTTCAGTGGAGGAAGAAGCAACTGCTTTATCAGTATGGGCAATTTCATGCATATGTGGCTCAATGCGTCTTGAACATGTAACTTTTTTTTTTTCTTAAACCAGGGGTAAATACGTAATTTTACATTTATCTCAATTATATTTACAACTTTCATGTCTTCCACAGGTGTTGACAATATTCACAGGTGCTCTGTTGGAGAAGCAAATGGTGTTTGTGTGTTCTAATCTGGTTTGTATTCTATTTGTAGTTATAAATTTTACTCTAATTATATAATTATATCATGTTGGCTTAAAAAATTTATTATTTATTTTTTTATGATTCAGGGAATATTATCTGCTTCAGTGTTATCGATTATCCCTTTAATTCGTCCCTACCAGTGGCAGAGCTTCTTTATGCCGGTATTTTTTATTAAAAGAAAATCCTTAAATTTATAAATTATAAACCAAATCTGCTATTATATAATATAAAGCAAGTATCAACTAAATTTAAGTGATGTTTTAATTGATTTTGGTTTAGGTCTTGCCAAATGACATGCTGGATTTTTTGGATGCACCTGTTCCTTTTGTAGTAAGTTTTTTTTTATTTAAATTTTTTGTTAATTTAATCATTTAAATAAAAAAAAATGTGGGGACAGGTTGGTGTGAAGAGCAGAACAGCTGAAGTACAATCAAAATCAGGAAATGTTATTCTTGTTGATGCAAATAAAAACCAGGTATGTGAATTTAATTTTTCAGATGTTCATGTATTTTATTTATTGTTTTTTAATTTTTTTTTTGTTTAATTATTTAGGTGAAATCATCTTATATGCCACATTTCCCACAATACAAAGAGTTATATGCAGCCTTAACTCCATATCATGCTCAACTTGTTGGAGAAAGTTATTTGGGGAGAAGGAGACCTGTTTATGACTACACTGATGTGCAGGTATGTAATCATTCTTTTCTTAACCACATCGGAATGGAATCCACCATTCCATTTGTGATTCCATTCCATCTTACCAAACCTAAACACAATAACACAAACACAAACACAGGTGGAAGCTGCAAAGGGATTCCTGAGAGTATTAAGATCTTACTTGGATTCACTTTGCTCCAACTTACGTTCACACACAATTACAAATGTTCAATCAAACGATGATAAGGTTTTTCCTTTTTTCTTTTTTCTTTAAACCATTTAAATTTATCAAAAATCAAATTTCTTAAAAGTTACATTTTATGAATTGAATCTTTTATTTAGGTATCATTGCTTCTAAAGGAGAGTTTCATTGAATCATTTCCTAGTCGCGATCGACCTTTTATGAAGGTATGATTGTACATTTATATATTATAAAACATGTTTTTTTTTAATAGGCTATTTTTATTTATTATTTTTGAAAATGTGAAACAGCTTTTTGTGGACACACAAATGTTCTCTGTACATACAGACTTGGTATTGTCTCTTTTCCAAAAGGATTAGAAGTGGAAGGAAGGAAGGTTGACCTTGTAATGTATAGTTTATATAACTTTATAATCGCAATTGAGCGCAAATTCTATAAGTTATTAGAGTTTAAGTGTTTTTATATTATTATATAGTTATAATTATAATTATAATTATAATTGGTTTCACATTTTGTATCAATTCACATGGCTATCTACATGAAAAGCCAATAACATTATATAAACATCATGTGCTCTCCTTTCTTAAACCATATTACAATTTTGTTTCCTTTATTACTATTTTTTTCTTTTCTCCATAAGTCCTTTAAGGATGAACTGAGTGGATGATGTCTTTTTGGATAAGATAATATGTTTTCATTAATCCAATGAGACTAAATGATTAATTTACCTTTACATTGTAAAAATATATAATTTACAATGTTCATTTATTTTATTAACATTAAATCATTTCAATAAAGGGTAAATAGATGTATAGCGAAGTTATTTGTTCAAATTAAGTCGATTAAAAAAGGTATGTATAACTATCCTCTTTTAATAAAAAAAATTCAACATAGACGCATAGTAGACATCAAAACTGGTTTAACTATATAGTTCATCTTAACACTTTCTTGACAAAGATAATTAGTTCATACTTAAACATGTTACTTATTTGGGATAATGATGCAATTGGAGGGTATGGATTGGGAGATAAGAAAAATGTAGGATTTGTGTTTTTGGGATTAGGTTTGGATATGGGGGGAAGAAAAAACTGCAACTTTAATTGAGACAACACCAAATGAGTAGGGTAGGTGTCAGAAGAGTCATGAATATGAATATTTACTTTTGGTTTTGGTTTTTGCTGAATGAAATAATTGGAGCTTGTGTTTGTGTAGCCTCTGTACTCTGTCACCTAGTAACACTTTTGGAAGCTTTAAACAACCAGGGAAGGGAATTCTCTTTAATGAATCAATGCGAGCTTGCACCTCAACTATATAGATATATATATATATATATATATATATATATATATATATATATATATATATATATATATATATATATATATATATATATAAAAAAGAACATTTTCTAAAATGAGAACATTTTTTAGACATTCTTTATTCTTTCTCTACGTATCCCTCCTCTTTTTTCCTCTACATTTCTCTCTCTACATATCTCTCTTCTCCTCTTTCTCTCTCTACGATACAGACTATCCATTATGAACCTTACAATTCATAATCCATTATATCAGTTGCGCATTATTTTCTTTCAGAAAGACTCTTATAAAATTATTACGATGCATCATGAGTTCTCTATCTGCTTATGTTAGTTTTGATCTTCAACAATTTTTTAAGCATCAGAAGCTGGAAATCATGCCACCGATCTACAAATGTGATGTTTAATCTTAGCTATTGCAACTAGAAATCAGTTCATTGGTGGTCTCTTCTCATACTTACCTCTGGTACATGGTTTACCCGTCGAAGCTCAATCTAAATGCATTTTTCATGTTCCGGGTTTAATATATCCAGAGTGGAAAATGCAATGGGTCAAATGATTCTTACCTGCTCCTATTGTGAAGTTATTTGGTCAACTATGGTACTCTAAATATGATAGCAAAAGGGGGAAATGAGCCTTGCACACCAGGTGTTCGACTAAATGCTTGAAAGAGCAGTTTTGCCTAAAACAAACCCTCTGACATCACCTAGTGTACATGATGACAAAGTGATACCTAATCTCTACGACCTTTTTATCTTAAAAGAATTCCACCAAAGCAGTTGTGCCTTAGCCATCTACAATATCTGTCTTGTTTAGTCAAAGGTAATCCTATGATTTCTAACAACTTTTAAATTAATTATGATATGTTGGAAATTAAGCTGTTAATGGTTTATAGGTTTTGGATGCTTTGGGAGAGTCGATTCCATGTGTCAAACTAACTTTACTTTAACTTCTTGCAACAATACTCATAGTTGTACACATATTGAACTTGTTACAAATAGATTTCCATTTACAACCACTTCCAACAATACAAGTATAATACAGACTGCAGGTATGAATCTTGATATTTCAACACGGAATGTTAATTTAGCTTATTTGCAAGCACTTAAAGACTACATATTTGAATAGAGAGGTGTATTGGGCTTAACCATTAAGTCCTTAATAGAACACCAAAAATGATTTAAAAGCTATTATGATCAATTTTCCCAAATCTGTCCTCCAACTTCTAAAATTCGTGCAAGTCAATAAGAACACCTAAAAATCATGAGACTTAGTTTTCTGGAAATATTAGCGTGTCTAGTTTCTTCAAACTTTGAATCACATTTCGAAATTCCAAATCCTTAAGGGGTAAAATTGGCAATTTTCTCAGGTTGGTCCATGCTGTCACAGATTTCATGCATTGTCTTCAAAAAAATCATAATAAATTCATCAAAACTCCAAATGCCAAAATTCCAAAGCCTATAGTTATATATGGATGTATAGTTTGCCACATATAAAGGGTCTGATGTAATTCGTAGTAGATTGGTACAATTTATTCCAAGAGTGTTGAGTGATCTAGAAAGTGACAGCTTAAAGTTACTAACTTGTAAATTTAATATAAAATCAACCAAAAATCATTAGAACGAGATATTTATATTCCTGAAAATATAAAAGGGGGAACTTTAACAATGTTATTTTATCAAAATCTAATAATAGGTTGAAAGGTAAGAAAACAGATCACAGAGCACTATAATCAAAGAGAAAATAAGGAAATATGTGCATAAGTTTTATAAGAGTAATACAACAAAGCACAAGCTAAATAATGTTATAATTGATGTGTAGGTTCGCGGAAAGGAAAGGATTCATCTATCTCATGCTAGCTAATTTTCAGGTTCAAGGAGGTGAGTTACAGTAACTCTCATATTATGTAAGTATTAGTTGTTTTATGTTATTGTTCATGGATACCCTAATCCGGTAGAGTGAACAAGGAAATGCAGAATGTAGTTTGTTCTCTAGTGAGACAAGGAAAAAGATTCATTTCCGCGTTCTCGATTCGTTAGTTGTTATCGTGTATTAAATCACATGTGATTATATGATCTAATCACATATGACTTATATGCACAAGATTCATTTTTGTGTTTTTGATTCAATAGTTGTTCTTTGTCCATATTAATCGTATAGTATGTGATTAAATACATAAAATGACATATGATTAAATACATGATAACAAATATTGAATTGAGGACGTGAATTTGTATCTTATTCACATAAATCATATGTGATTAGATACATATGTGATATCACATATGATTAAATACACGAGAACAACTATTGAATCTAGAACACGAAAATGAATATTGTCCACATAAATCATATGCGATTAGATACATATAATAACATGTGATTATGTGTATCTAATCACATATGATTTATGTGGTTAAGATTCATTTTCACGTTCTCGATTCAATAATTGTTTTTTTCCACTTTAATCATATGTGATTAAATACATTTAATCAGATGTGATTATATGTTTCTAATCACATATGATTTTATTTGGAAAAAACGAATATTGTCTGTATAAATCATATGTGATTAGATACATATAATCACATGTGATTATATACACGATAACAAATATTGAACCAAGAACGCGAAAACAAATCTTTATCCAAATTAATCATATGTGATTAAATACATATAATCACATGTGATTATATGAATCCAATCACATATGATTTATGTGGATATAATTCATTTTTGTTTTGTCGATTTAATAGTTGTTCTCATGGATTTTATCACATGTAAATATATGTATAATCGTATGTGATTAAGTACATGAGCACAACTATTGAATCAAGAAGGGAAAAATGAATCTTGTCCGCCTCAAATCATATGTGATTATATACATATAATCACATATGATTAATTACACAAAAGCAATTATTCAGTCGAAACCACAAAAATAAATATTGTCATAAATCATATCTGATTAAATACATATAATCACATGTGATTATATGTATCCAATCATATATGATTTATGTGGATGAGATTCATTATCACATTCTCGATTCAATAATTGTTCTTTGTCCACTGTAATCATATGTGATTAAATACATATAATCATATGTGATTATATGTATCTAATAACATATGATTTATATGGACAAAAAATAATGATGTCTATATAAATCATATGTGATTAGATACATATAATCACATATTATTATATACACAAGAACAACTATTGAACCGATAACACAAAGATAAATATTGTCCACATTATCATATGTGATTAAATGCATATAATCACATGTGATTATATGTATCTAATCACATAGAATTTATGTGGAAAGTATTTATTTTCGCGTTCTCGATTCAGTTTTTGTTCTTGTGTGCTTAATTACATGAGATTATATGTATCTAATTAGATATGATTTATATGGACAATATTCATTTCACATTCTTGTTCAATAGTTGTTCTTGTACATTTAGTCACATATGATTTCTGTACACAATATTCATTTTCGCGTTTTTGATTAAATAGTTTTTCTTTTTCCACATTAATCATATGTGAGATTAATACATACAATCACATATGATTAAATACATAAGAAAAAAATATTGAATCATGAATATTATCAATATAAATCATATGCGATTTGATACATATAATCACATGTGATTAAGTACATGAGTACAACTATTGAATTGAGAAAGAAATAATGAATCTTGTCCACATAAATCATATGTGATTAAATACATATAATCACATGTAATTAAATATATTAGAACAATTATTGAATCGAGGCAAGAATAAATATTTTCCATACGAATCATATGTGACTAAATAAATATAATCACATGTGATTAAATACACAAGAACAACTATTGAATCAACACGTGAAAACAAATATTGTCCATGTAAATCATATGTGATTAAATGCATATAATCACATGTGATTTAATACACGATGTCAATTATTAAATTGGAAACACAAAAATAAATACGGCCCACGTAAATAATATTTTATTAAATACATATAATCATGTGTAATTATGTGTATCTAATCACATATGATTTACGTGGACAATATTCATTTTTGCATTCTCGATTCACTAGTTTTTCACGTGTATTTAATCACATGTGATTATACGTATTTAATAACATATAAATCATATATGATTCGATACATATAATCACATGTGATTATATACAAGAGAAAAATTAATGAATCAAAAACACAATAACAAATCT